TGCTGGGGGGGTCCCTCCATGCCTCTCCTGCCTGGCGATTGGCCACAGGGGAGTCCAGGTACCCCTCCAGACCCAGGAGGCACTAGTCACTGAGCCGGGGGAGACCCAGCACATTCCTCAGTGGACCTGGAAGTGCTTCTGGTCCACTTCTGGGTCTGCTGCCAAGTGTGCTGGGGAGCTCCCCATGCTTCTGTGATATGCTACGTCTGCCCTAGCACTGCAGCACTCCGAGCCCCTGCTACTTAGAGGTATGTAGAAAAAACAGGTAAAGCTGTATCTACATCTGAATTGACAAATCTTTCTGAATCTCTCCAAATTGATTCAGAGGGTTCCGAATCGATTCGGAGAGATTAAAGGGTCCTTTGATTCAATTTGGATTTGGAGATTCGGCCACCAAATCGGTATAGGTACTGTAGGAAGAAAAGCTTACAGTTGTGTACAGTCACTTTTCTACATTATATTTATCAGGTTTAGGCCACAGCCGTACATTTGAAATGATAATGGAGACATCATCAATAGATATGTGCAGAAAGAGAATTAGGAAGGTCTTAATTGATAACAAACACAGCAGAAATGAATCTGAAAAAAAAAAAGTATGTTTTTTAAAGAAGCCTATACTTCACTGTTTCCACTGATATGCCATTATCATTTGAAAATGAGGGAGATGAGGGAATTGCTGCTAATATGCAATAATGTATGACTCAGTCCATCACTAATTAATTAAAATCTTTATCCTCTTGCAAAATATGACTTAACGTCTAGGCAAAATAGACCTTCAGCAGTTAGAATAAAGCAGATGCATCTACACGTGCGATTAGCCCATAGCAATAAACTCCAGCGCAATTTGTGCCAGAGTTTATTGCTCCTGGGTGCAGCCTTTACACATGTGCTTGAGACCACACCACTTTGAGCCAGGGCATTGCCGCCCCAGCTGTCAGGGAACCTGGGGGGTCATCCTGCTAGCCTGGAACTGCTCTGCCCTGGCTCAACGTGCTGAAGGGGGGCTGGCTGGGGCACAAGGGTGGTATAGTACAGGGCTAGTCAGCAGGCAGCCCCTGCATTGTCGCTCCTTTGTGCCCCAGCCAGCCCCAGTCATCTACATGTGCATTTTGGCACATTAAATAACTCCACCATAGCATAGTACTTGTCCCAGACAGTACTATCCTACAGCAGAATTAATTAATTTATTGCACCCTAATAGGGGCACATGTGTAGATGGTGATGCTGTACTGTGGAGCTAATTAGTCAACTCTGCAGTAAAGTATATGTATAGATACACCCAGTGGATAGAAGACTTCAAACTATGCTTGATATTGCCTATCAATATTCTGAATCTTCTGTTAAAAGCCAAAGTAAAAAAAACATCAAACCTCATGAGCCACCATTATTACACTGACACATTGCAGATTTTACTGGGAAAACTGCTGCCTGGGCCAGCATCTTGAGAAAGATTGCTCTGGCTGAACAGAAAACTTATTCTCCATTCTTCTCTATAATTGTCCAAATATAAATCAGCCTCCCTGATGAACTCCCCCTTGAAAGAGGGTAGATCATTTAGCTAAGATTCACGATAGTTTGTATTTCAAATTGCCTTTCATTTGAGGATCTCAGAGCACTTCACACACATCGCTATTTAAGTATCACTATATCCAGTACAGATGCTAAGTAAATTGATCAAGACTTAGGAAATTCATCAAGACCATACCAGGTCTGTATGGCAAGCTGAAAACAGAACCAACGTCTTCTAAATTCCAGTCTTGTGTTTTAAGCAGAAGACCATTTTTCTATTTGTATTAGCATATTACTTACCTCTAGTTACTTTGTCAGATTACAGAGGACATACTGCTTAGAGAGGATTTTAGCTAAGGAAAATAGAATGGGTGTCTTACGTTGTCATTTACTATGCAGTTAGGCTGGTAAACCAATCAGATACCTGGCCTGAGTGAAAATTCCTATTTTGCTTCCAGGGTAACTTATGATTTGGAGCGTCAGCATGCTGTTCCTGTTTTCCATTATTCTATTGCTGTGCAAGTGCTGGGCTGCCTCATTGTAAGGTTTACCCTGAGGGGGAGAAAACATTCCATTTTCATAAAATAAACTTCAATTCATTATTTCCTTCTTTCATTAGTCACTTTTGTCAGTTTATATTTCGGTGCTTTATAATTAAATTGTATGGAGCCCTGAGGATCTGTGTGTAATAGAGTGGGTCTCATATGAGGTTTATCTGGGATAGAACCATATACATCCGCTTCACATTTTTTAAGCCCAAAGAGGAGCTGTTCCTAAAGACATACTATTATGCATTGTAAATACAGGTGGCCTCAAAAAGCCACGCACAGCAGAGCCATGCTAATTTGCATTGACAAATGGGTGTAGATTAGTGAGGTTAGCAGACCAGCAAGTGATGGAGTGGAACCAGTGCTGAAGATGAGAAATGTTCCACAGGACATGGCAGGAAAACAAGATGATCGCTTGTCCTGCCCTGGCACCCGATAAAGCCCTAATCAATTTACAAATGGCTGCTCCTGCTCCTGCTCTAAGAATTGGACATGGACAAAGGGTTTCATTATTTCCAGGAGTTTTGGTGGAAGCAATGGGAGGAACAAGCTGGTAGCCTCTCAGAGGGCTGGATGGTCTTGAGAAAAGCTGCTGCCAAATGCACCACTACTCCCCTGTTCTCTATCTGCAGTAGTATTCTGGAAAGCCTATGCCTCCTCCTTTCTCCCTTAGCACTGAACCCTACAGTGGGAAAAGTCAAAGATAACCCCAAGTTCTTGTTGCTACGGGAAAGATGGGGCACCTCCAGCTTGAAGTGTAAGAAGTGCAAGGAAAATAACAGCTCTGAGGACCACTGCAAATGAGCTGGGGATCAGGATGTCCTTAGTGCTGTGGCTACAGAAAAACTGCAATAGGAGAAGTGAGACTCCACACCCCACCCCACTCTCTTCACCCCTCAGAGCAGCAACAGGAGCTGCTATTTTTAAGATTATTGTATTTTTAAGTAGATTATATTTGGGATTTTCAGTGACTAGGGGGAGAGGGGCTAAAAGAAAATATAGTCTTGTCTTTAACTTCCTATGGGGTGCAATGGGCCCACTCACATTGTTGCTCTGCATTCCAATTATCTGCAAACCAGCAAATTCATCTTAATTTTTCATTGTAGTTTTGCAAGCTTCCAAATGCTGATAACATTTACAGAAGGATTCTTTTTAACATAACAGCAAATTTTCATTGAAAAGGTAAGTGAGCTGTACAGCATTTTCTACTTTAGGAACATGTCTACATATGCCCCTGACTGTGCAGTTGTTACTGCACAGTTATTTAGTACTTGCTAAAAGAAGTACTTAATGAGTGAGCAGTAACAGCTGTTACTGCGCAGTCCCAGCAGTGCATGGATCATTTCCAACCCTACTGCAGAGTAGCTTGTTACTGCTGCACAGTAGCATCGGCATCATGGTTCCCGCTGATGCTATGTCGCCATAGTGAGGAGCTATGTTGATGAGCTCATTGCTATGGCGATGTAGAGTCTCATGTAGACATACCCTAGGACTACCAATTACCCCAAGCCAATTTAGACCATTATGATTTTAATTCTTTTCAGTATAATACTAATTCTAGTGATGTTTTTGTTGTTTCATTGTTTATTAAAACTTTTTGTATACCAACAGATTCTATATTATTCATCAATAATATGGGCCAAATTATCACCAATGGTGAAATGCAGCCTCCAAAACCATTTTTTTTTTTTGATGTCTGCAAAACCATCACAAGAAAGATCTTGACTCTGAAAGTATTTAAGAAGATCCATTCACATAAGTAAAGTCAGGTAGGTGTGCATATCCATCTACAGAACTGGAGTCCTCTGTTTTAATGAAGTCAGAAAAAATATTTCTGACTATAAATTTATTTCTACACAATTCTTTTTGTTGATCTCAAAAGTACTATTATTGGGCAATGGGGAATGATGTACTGTAGCACAAATCCAAATATTGGAACTTCTTCAAAGAAATAATCTAAGGGCACTTGTACATGTGAGTGTATGTGTGTGTGTGGGGGGGAGGGGTTAGTTCCCCTAAATTGAAATGGTGGTTTTTTAATTTCATAGTTTCATAGTTTCTAGGGTCAGAAGGGACCTGAGCAGATCATCTAGTCCAACCCCCTGCCATGGCAGGAAGAGCACTGGGGTCAAATGACCCCAGTAAGGTGGTCATCCAACCTCCTCTTAAAAACCCCCAGGGTGGGAGCCTGCACCACCTCACTTGGAAGCTGGTTCCAGACTCTAGCCGCCCTGACCGTGAAGTAGCGCCTCCTGATGTCCAACTTAAACCTTCCCTCCGCCAGCTTGTGACCATTGTTCCTGGTCACTCCTTGCGGCGCTCGGGGGAACAGGGACTCCCCCAGCGCCTG